CAACAACTCAGTTGAGAAGCTGACAATACAGCCTATCCCAGCCCAGCCTTCACAATGAACGCTGAAGACTATGAGCCCCCCAAACAAATGATCTAAAGCAAGGTGTGCGTAGGAACCACAATCCTCCCAAAGAAAAAGCTCCGCATCCATTCTAGGCAATCTCAAGCTAAGGAGTGGCCCCAACACTGAAGTTCGAGGCAGAAAACATGAATGGGGTTGCCACAAACAGCAGCATCTGTGCACCGCATCTAGACAAATTTGGGCAAGGAGCCAGAGGGCGTGCCAGGCAGACAGAGGGCGTAAATGTCAGATAGTGGAGTGGATACTCTGGCTTGTGTACTGCTTTTGTATACATCCTCTTATCTTTTCTTCCATTTTTGAGTTTCCTTGTGCCAAGCAATGACATCCTGGTGAGCTGAATCGAACAAAGAGTTACAGTATAGAACAGAAAAGCCAACAGCAGCCCAACACAACACTCCCACTCACATTCACACGCACATTCACATTCACCACATTTCTTGGACATGGGCACAGACATTGGACTTGCACTGGGACACATGTTCCTGACGAAAAGAATCAACAACGGGAAAAGCAACAGCTGGCATGCTGTGGCCCACCTCCACATTATCTCTGTCACCCAGATTACAACTTCCGATCACAACAACAGGCGTTGGCCCCAGTGACGATCTGCTGTTGGGGTCCACGCAATGGGCAGCTGTCAGCACCCAGCGCTTGTCGATGAGCACGCCACCACACATGTGCACATTCTGTGTATCCCGCAAGGACACCATGTATGTATACCGCCCACAAGGTGCATCAACACCCCCCTGCACAATGACAGAACTGCTGAAGCACAGCCATGCCAGAATGTTGAAGACTGAAATCTCCAACGACTTTGGGGCCAAATCAGTGTCCAGTGCCACAAGCAGCTGATGGAAATGGGTGGTAGTGCGAGACCTTTCGTCAATGAGTTTGTTGCACAAGACAGTGCACAACCCTTGCACCAGATTTTTGGCTATGGCAGGGTCACGATATTGGTAGTGGGGTGCAGCATGTCTTTACATAACTGCAGCATTGTTGCATATCGTTACATATCTTTGTTCCTTTCCAGCCATTTCATCCAACTCCAAAGATGCCAGGCGTCCCTGATGCTAGTGAATAGAGAATGTACACTATGACCAGGCAACTTGATTCCTTCTCCATATTTTCCCCAATTGTGCTGTCGAATTCTCCTTTTGGATGGCAAGGAACTTCTGCACATTCTTGGAGTAGCCTGCAGGGTTGCAGTGTTTCGATCTACTGTACTCCATTCCTTGCCTAACATTGTGCTCTGTGTCAACAAGCTTTCTGCATGAGGTACAGGCATAGCAAAGTGAACTACTCAGATTCCACCTGCAGACTGACGAGCAGGTGCGTGTGTGTGTGTCCTTGTTGTTATTATGAATCTGTTTTTCCATTCTAAACTACTGCATCACATTCTGAGAGTACATTCATCTGCTTGTAGGTTGCTAAACTCGAATGCAAAATTCTATCCATGCTGCCTGCACAAGAAAGTGTGCTGATCTCCCTAACCCAAGACAACTCCACAAACTTCCAAGAGGAGATCGAATCCCCATACACATGTGGGGGCCTACCGCGATCGTTGGCCTGACTTCAGGAAGTTCATCGAGAAGTTTGGGACTCTGTTGCAGCTTCCTGGAGGTTTGGGCCATCAGAGCATCTGCAACAGCGATCGCAGCCGCTCGAAATACCGGACAATGAGGGATGATTTTGGCTTTTACCGAGCCATTAGTGCAGTCCATGTCCAAACATTGTGTTAGACAGTTGGATACAGCTTATTTTGACTCCTGCTTTGGAAGTGCATTTCACCAAAGGGCATCTTCACTCAATAATCCGGAATATGTTCTTGGCCCTCAGATCATGTTGTTCTAAAAATTGACAAAGCAATGCCCAAGCACCTTGTCATTGTTTTCAAGGTGCAAGGGCTTCGTCTGTCAACTGTGTTCTGGACAATGTGTTCAACAGGGGTTAAAGTGCCCTTGCAGTCCAGCAGGAGCCAAGACCAATCACAATGGAGTTTTCTTTCTGGAAGGCCGTTGGGCTCAACAGCTCTCTCCAGCACAAGATTTGTACTGTCACTTGGTGTGATCATTTCCATAGGGCACACCACAACCCCCTGGAGCCTTCAGCTTTCAGGACTCTCAGATACGAAGCTGGGTTGAAGTTAGCCTGCAGCTGGCTTGCAAACACAGGCTTCATGACAAAGAACTGGGTCCAAACACGAAATCCAACACAGCATACCATCTCGCCAACACCACAGTTGGGACAACTTCCCCCAACAATGCAACCATAAGCCAATAAACTACTATACACAAGGAAGCAAACACGTGGTGGCCATTTGGGAGGACGATATGGACGCCGACCGTGCTCTGTGGCCTGCAATGCAATGGATGCCCACTATGCAATGTGCAATGTCACCTCTGCACAGCCGCCCGATCATATGACCAAACCGGCTTCACGACTTCTCGCCAAATACCATGCCATTTCTCGTTCCCTTGCAGTTTGTTGCCGCCGCTGTCTAAGAACTTCCGCATCATCCAGCGCAAATGGGAAGGGATACGAGTCTCACAACCGTCGTGTGCAGCGTTTTGGGCTTCTGGTTTTGGGTTTCGGGTGGGGAGGGAAATTGCGCAGGGCATGTTTTCTTTCCATTCTGTTTCAATGACACTCTCCACCAGGCAACGCGGCCCACGAGGAGCGCGGTGGCTCCCCGCCACAACCCACAACCGGCCACCCCCCAATCTGGCCGCGCGCGCCACTCGCCTTCGCGCCGTCCCGCCACCGTCCAAAGCAGCGCAGAGATGATCCAAGCTGCCCGCCAGGCGGGCGCCGGCCCCTTCATCCTCCAGCCCCGATCAATTGCAGATGCCGTCCCTGCGGTGGCCACAATTGTCAGGGAATCGTCGCCCAGGGAATGGCGATCAATCTCGAGCGCCCGGGCTGTGTATGGAGGGAAGCGGCTTCAGCTCTGGGGCCCCGTGCCCGGCGGATAGGAGGCCTTTCGAACGACGTGAGGCAGTACAGGAGGCGGGCCGCGAAAGGGTCGGCAATCCAATCCGATGTGCCGGCGGGAAAGCCCGCGTAGCAGGGCGTTAGAATGGCGGTGGACAGGCAGCCGGAGGGGGGTCGATGGCTCGAGACGCCTCCCGCGCCGTCCCGTCAGCGGCCTGCAGGGGCCGGGAGCGCGATGGGAGAGGCTGCCAGAGGAGGGCGCGACAAAAACGATGCTGGCTCGAGCTGATCGGCGAGTCCAAGCGTGACCGACATGAACCACCGGACGTGCACCGGGTTGTCAGCATCACATGGTGCGCAATTTCGACTCCTCATTGCCCGGACTTCACCTGTTAAGAGCTTCCCGCGCCGGGCCCCGACGCCTGGGCGCGCCTGGGCGGCCACCTCACCGCCCCTCAGGCCACCCTCGATTGTTTCCTACTGTTCCATTCGTCCCGTTCCGTTGCGGGGAGTCTACAGTGGATGCCGGCCCGGGCGCGCCGGCTTGCTTTTTCTCTGGCCGGTCGCGCACCAAGCTGAGGGGTGGTCTGGGGGGTTTTGGCGCGGTCGAGCGCAAGGCACCTGAGGGGCACCTGCGCGACCGCGCCGCGTGACAGACCGCCGGCCAAACGCCGGGGGAGCTCGCGGTGATGACGTTATTGCAAGCGGTCAGTCATCATGCGTTCGATGCAGATGCTGTCGGCCTTTAGGCGGCTCAAGGGCGCAATGAGCCTTTGGGCTGCGGCGACCCCGTGGGTACGGGAGGCGTTCACGACGGTCACGCGTGGGGAAGACAAGTCTGTCACTCACGATCCCAATTCATGATTACAAGTGAAGCGAGTGGTATTTATAGTGCGATTGTGTGACGGTTCATGAGTTGTTGTCTCCAGAATACCCACTCTAGCCACTTTCGCGAGCTGGCCGGGTTCGTGTCCTTTTCTCATGCCAAGTTCCTATTCCCGCCGCCCAGACCAACTATGATCCATTGCCAACCAGCCCAGCAGCTACCCGCGCACACTACCCACTCCCACTCTCCCTCACTCCCTTTCTAACTCCGCTCCTATTCCCGCCGCCATCCCAAGCTATGAACCAATCCCAAAGCCGTCCCTGTTCGTTCACTACAGCCAATTCCCTTTAATTGGCTCCCCTATCATACGTACAGCCCCACTCCCCAAAATGCACGTTGACGAAGGCAGGCAGGGGTGAGGGTTGGCGACCCCTGATTGGGACCGTAGGCTCGAGTACACGGCAAGGGGTTGCAGCGGAGCAAAGGGACAATAGGAGTACTGCCCCTTGTATCCAGTCCGTTCATCAATGTCTTTGATGAAACTCCTAATGCCTGAACACCTCTATGCATCCAGCCGTTAACGATACTCGATCAGTTCTGCTTACAACAACGTGCGCTATAGATTAGATTTCAATAAACAAATTGTGGAAGTTGCTTCGTCTAGGCCAAAAAGGAAGCTGGCGGCCACCTTCTTGGCTGGTGGTGTAAAATGTATGGTGCTGATGATGAATGCATGATGATTATCAGGGAACCATTATCATTATAGAGCCTTACATGGCAAGACAAGAAAACGGGAAAAACGGGAAAAATGACTCTCTTCCAAAGGCGTGCGTAGTTGAAACTAGGTAAAAAGAGTGGCAAAATTGTTGAAGCTGCAGCCTGGTCCTGTACTTGTTCCTTACCATGCAACACATAAGTGTATTGCTTTTTGTCCCGCAAATATTGTACTGCATCGACATTTGGGACCCAGAGAAGCTGAGCCGGTATTGTGTTGCGGCGGTGCAGATACTTATACTTGCGTGTTCAAAATAACCTGGAACTTGAGGAACGTGACCCTGATGTACTCTATAATAGTTTGTCACAATTTCAATCTGATACGAGTTGTAGATGCGTGAGACTTGTTCCAAAACATTAGCCTTCCAGAGGATTTTACCCCAGGTTGGACAATGAGAAAAAGTGATTGCTTTCCATGAGGTTGTGGAAGGGCTTTCCTCTGAATCGCTCCTTTTCCTGAAAAAGCATCGATTGTATCGCGTCAATCACTGTTCTTGCTTCAGCGTTATTCGCCGCTGCATCATTTCTGATAATTCCATACAATTCCGCACCAATTTCTATGGTAATTTCAGATGCTGCACTGATTTTCTGAGCATTACTTGACGACTTTGACCTGCCAGCTTAAAGGCAGGAAAATACGTTGTGCTTCTGCGCCCCAACCAAACTCTTAGCTAGGAGTTTGTCGCAGGGCAAAATCTGTGAGATTTCTCTCATCACGCCGTCGCATCACAATCATTTGCTAAATGGCTGTGATCGCGCTGTGCTCTGGCGCAAGATCCCGAACATCCCCACACTGACGCAAATCGCACGGGCATTCTGCGCACTGGAAGCTCTCACATGCGGAGTCCCAATAGATCGGAAAGCCCACGCAGCGAAGGATAACTGTACAAGGCTCAATTACGGGGTGAAGCCTATTGATTTCTCCACCAAGCCACGCTCCAAGTCAACCAGCTGCGCAATTGGCGCGCGTGCTTCAGAATTTGGAGTGCGCTCCAAACTTTACAGCGTGCAAAATTTCGAAACGAAAGGCCTCCAGCCTTTTCCCTGCAGCCTTCCAGACCTTTGTTCTCGCGGCCGGCGGTTGCCTCCGCGGGATCCGGTAAGCTGAAGCCGCCAAGGGCCGCCGTCGGTCATCGCTGCGAACGCCGAGGGCGCTTTGGGAAGCACTCCCTGTGGCGACGATCAGCGCGTCCGGCATTGCCCTGCCGCACTCTGGAAGGGCGCCGTCAAGGCTGGAATTCCGGCTTCGACGCGACAACGCTTTCGCCCTGCCGCACCTTGAGCTCGGCACACGGGAAAGCATGTTGTGCTGCGGTGCCTCCCGATGGGCTATGGACATAGACAGCAGCAATTTACGACACTTTCGGTTGGACACTGGGAGCCAGAGAAATTCAACTGTGCAAAGTCTTTGGGCCGTTCACAAGGCTTTCAATCTGGCATTCACGAGCCTGATGCTGTTTCTACCATTTTAAACCGAATTTATGTGTTATTTATGGCCGTCGCTTAATTTGGGAAGCCGATTACTTTATCGTTAAATATCCATCACAACGGGGACATAATATCGAGTTTTATGTACTTTGGGATGCTTGAATCGGTAAGTCTTCCACATTAATACCAACAAACTGCATTTATGTAGTCGAGATACCTCAATGTCAAAAAGCCGTTTTCTTGCCATACATTACGAGGGGAGGCTTCGATTGTCACAGATAGCAATACAAGCAAAATATCTTGTGATTGCGGATGCTTGAATTTGCCAAAAGCGCAAGGATTTTGCAAGGATCTATGAACCCCCGTTGCAGCCAGGGGGTACGAAACAACCGAGAAGCTCGCCTGTCCCCTGTTGCGTGTTGGTGAGAAACGGCACGTGAAGCAACACCAAAACATTTGTTCCGGGTTCGGCTTCTGATTTGGAACATTCCCAATCTTACACACTCTTGGACGTGTGTTCCTTTACGTGACCGTAATCCACAGAAATCAGCGCCAACCTTCTTCCACTGCGGTATTGGAAGAATCTGACGCTAATGTCTGCATTTTGGCACGATGCGCGGTTAACACGAAACTGTGCTGAAAGTCTGTGACCAAACATGCCAGTGGCGATCCTGCACGGCCAGCATGAGGGCCGTCCAGCCGTCCTGCCATGCTCATACGAGCATCGTGGCGCTGCTGTTGGGAAAAGGGCGCATCGGTAGACCAGGGCGGCGTGGTGAGACGGCACTGACTGTTTAGCCCAGCTTGCATCTATGCGCACGGCGTGCATTTCTTTTTTTTTCAATACATTTAGTTATTAAATTTATAACCTAATTTAATACATGCAACTGCATTGCGTGTGTTGCGCCCCAACCTCATGCATGTCGTCTAGTTGCTGTGTCGGACACCAGTGACTGGTATTGTGCTGTATACGCGACAGTGCATGCCAAGGTGATTGCCGCATATGCACTGCATGGTGTAGATTGCGTGTCACAAATGTACTGTGTCTGCAAATCGACCCGCACTGGTTGCCCTCAAGTGTTTTGAATCCCGACGGCCAATTGATGTGTTTGCCGTTGCCTGCTCCGCAAAGGACGGCTGGACAGCGCCAACGCAAGAAATTGACCCTTAACGTGGCAAATTTGCCACGGTTTCTTTAAAGCAGCACAAATAGTACTGGGATCCTAGTCCCCGGGAAGTAATACAGGAAAGCGACGCTCCTCGTAAGAATTCCGAGTAACGAGTTTCCATGCTGCTCCCGCCAATGTCCGGTAGTCCGGTGGACTCTGCCCAGTACCGACGCTTCAACCCACTGCTAGACGCTATGAGCAAGGACGCCCGGGCACTGCTCAACATGGCAACCACGTCCCTGTAGACAGGCTTGGTTTTTACGCCGTAAAAGCTGATCGTATTTACATTTTTACGCGTAAAAATATTTCTTACGTTCTTGCGCGTAAAAATGCGTAAAAATACATAAATACAACGCAAAAATTGCCCGGTGTACATAAGGACAGTACATACAGAATTACTGAGTCCGGAGAATGGCAGCCAGACGCCCTGGAAGGGGCAGAAAACGAGTTTTTGTTAAGCACCATCATCGCGCTTGCCAAGGAAGAGGTGGGCATTGCGTTGCTGGTGCTGAAGATGGTGGAGAATTGGTCATTGTACGCAACTTTCATCGTGTAACCTGGGTGTCCCAGGGAGCCGTAAAAACGTAATAATAGCCATAAAAAGGCCCTTTTGCAAATTTACGTTTTTACGCGTAAAAACGTAAATGTAAACGTAAAAACCAAGCCTGCCTGTAGACGTGATGCCAATGGAGG